GCTGGTCTCAAACTCCTGGGCTCAAGGTATATATCCATTTCTTAGTTGAGAAAAAAGGCTTAGGAAGTTAATTAATACACAAAAAGTTAAACAGTCTGGGCATAGTGGCTACGCCTGTAATCAAAAAACTTTGGGAGGCCCAGGTGGGTGGATTACTTGAGGTCAGGAGTTCAAGGTCAGCCTGGCCAACATGGCAAAACCCTGTCTCTACTAAAAATCCAAAAAATAGCCGGTGTGGTGGCACGCACTTGTAATCCCAGTTAATGGAAAGGCTGAGACAGGAGAATCACTTGAACCTGGGAGGCAGAAGTTGCAGTGAACTGAAATCAGGCCACTGCACTCCAGCCTGGGTGACAGAGTGAGATTCCGTCTCAAAAAAAAAAAAAAAAAAAAGGAAGAAAGAAAGAAAACAAACGAAAAACACAAAATGCTAAATAGTGGATAGTGACAGAAGGGAAATTGAGTGAGGCTTTTCCAGTACAAAGTCCAGGCTTAGTCCAACTCTGTCCTGGTGTCTTCTGGAATATCAGGAGATGTTCTGGCCAAATCACATTAATTTATTTTTCCTCTGATGCGGCATCTTATTCAGAGGAGAAAATCTGAAAGGCCTTTGGATTAAACAGATGCTTATGGAGCAACTTATTAGGCATCAGTTCTAGCAAAGGAGAGAGATGGGGTTGGTGCGACAACCAGGGGTTTACTACTGCTCTTTAATAGCTGTGAAAAAACAGATAGTAGGAGGTGACACATCTAGAATTGAGTTCAAATCCTGCTTCTTACATGGATAAACTGCTTGGCCTTGTGCAAATTCGAACTGTCCTGTGAGCCTCCACTTCCTAATCTTTGAACTAATTTTAGATGTGACTATCTCATAGGGGAGGCTGAGGATTAAGTGATATCATGAATAAAAAGTATCTGGCATGTAGCGAATTCTTGATAAATCCCCATTTATCTCCCTCCCTTTCCTCGCCTTGGAACTGTTTGATTTGGGTCCTTCCCAAAGCTATCATCCAAATTAAGCCAAAATACTGCATTTGCTTTAATACAAATTGTGCATGCTAGGAGAATAATGAGTTAAAGTAAACTGGAAAAAGGGAGTCCTAAATCCATAAGGAAACAAAAATAAAGCAGTATTCGAATGTCAAAGGAACCTCTTGGTTCTAGCTGGCAAGCCGTTCCACCAGGTCTTAATAGCAAAATTTTAAAACATTAGGTAGAACCTTGAAGTTGTGCAACCTATAATTCCATTAAGAGATAAAGCTTTATTTAAAAATAAGATATAATTAATGAAGGTTTAAAATAACGTGCAAGTAAACAGACCATGCTGTAGAAAGGTAGGCAGTGGGGGCAAATAGGAGAAAGGGGATAATAGGACCTCAGTTCCTGTTTTTTTGTTCTTCTCTTTCTTTCTCTTAGCTTTGATGCCAAACACTCTTGGGAAGAAATCATAGTTTCTTCTGGGCGTATTTCCTTCCTGGTAAATTAAAAAAAAATTTGTTTTAGTGATAGGGCCTTGCTCTGTTACCCAGGCTGGAGAGTAGAGAGTAACGTGATGGTGGTTCACTGCAGCCTTAACCTCCTTGGCTCAAGCAATCCTGCCTCACCTTGCTAATAGCTGGGACTACAGGTGCCAGCCTCCACACTCAGCTAATTCTCTCATTTCTTACAGAGATGGGCTCTTGCTATATTCCCCAGGCAGGTCTCAAACTCTTGGGCTCAAGTGATCCTCTTGCCTCAGCTTCTCAAAGTGCTGAGATTACAGGCATGAGTCACTGCTCCTGGTCTATAAAATTCTTAGTTTTAGTTCTTATAAGATTATAAGACTTCCTTTTATATTGAACAAATTGTTTTAAAAACTGAAAAGCTGGTTCCTTCTTGAAGAACAAATTGAATGAATCAGAAATCAAATGAACCAGAGGCTTGGAATAACTCAATGCCCGCTATTCCAGCATTCACTTTAGAGTCTTTTTAGGTTTTTCCTTTTTTTCCTCTTGTCTTTCTCTTCTCTGACTTTATTTCTATTCCTCTTATTTGTTGTTGTTGTTGTTGTTAGGATTGTTATTATTTGCTTTTTGTTCTCCTTCTCTTTCTTTCTCTTGGAATTTATTTTTCTGTCCTCTATTTCTGTTAATCTTTCCTCTTTAGTTGGCTCTAATATAGAATTCAAATGTAAGTGAAATATTTTTAAATGAATGTTTACTTCATAGTCTTTTAAAATTTTTGAAAATTTTATTTTAAAAGGAGTCCAAGAGAGAAGAATATTTTATATTCTTAACTTCCATATTAGATGCATTGAACATTTTCTATTTCTCTCTCTGGAAAAGCTAAATTCATCATCATTATTTTCATTACTTTCTTGTGGTGCTCTAATTTTTTTCTCCACATATATATTTTGTCTATTCAAATATTTCTTGAGTGTCTTCTGTGTGCCACTCATGTCTTTGTCTATATATAGACAAAATATATATATACAAACGTATATGTCTCATTATATATATTCACTGATTATGTATATAATTATTATATATAATAATATATATTATATATAATTACATATCCACTGATTATATATAACATCAGTCAATATACATTATATATATAAAATCAGTGAATATATGCAAGAAATTCAATATATATATTGAATATATTATATATATTTTATGGGTGTATATATATATATATATATATATATAGAGAGAGAGAGAGAGAGAGAGATAACATATACAGAGTATATATAGTCCCATAAAATATATACATTCAATATATATATTCGATATATATAGTCCCACAAAATATATACATATTATATATGTATTTTCATGGGAATATATATATACATATTATATATATATTTTCATGGGAATATATATATATATATATGTACATATGAACATGCCCTTTTCTTAATGTGAGCTTCTGCCGAACTAACCTTCTTTCTTTCCCTTTCATGGGACTGTAAGTATATAATATATAAAGGGAAGGTTCTTAGAAGCTGCCTGTGAATTTGTGGTGTTTGCTCATGCACTTTATATTTTCCTTAAAAAAGTGAAGATGGCTTATTGCTCAAAAAGGAAACAAAGTTGCTGTGAAGGGTTTTCAAATCACATATTTGAGAGAAAATATAATGTTCTGATAAAATAAGAACCAAATTCAATTAAAAATGAACATCAAAACCTGAAAACAAAGTAACTGGGATTATCTTCATGTTTCTTACAGATACTTAACAATCCAAAGGCAAAACAGTGCTCATTGTCAAAGCTGGCAGGGCAGGCTGGTCAGGCCCTCCTCTTCAGTTTTCTACAGGAGAAACTGAAATTGAATTTCTCGTTTTCTTTTCGAATTAGACACCATCAGACTTTCACAATCAATGGACTCTGAATTTTTTTTTGCTTTCAAGCTTTGTTTTTGTTATTTCTTCTTAAAAACCTCTCCTGTCCTACCCTTCAAGTCTCCAACATACTTTGTTCTTCTGGAAAAATAACTACTTATCTTTTAAGACAAATCATCTTATCTTTGGTACCTGAGTCTATGATGAAATTAGCCATTCAACATTGCTCAAATATTTCTTGAGCATCTTCTGTGTGCCAGACACTCGTCTCTGAGGACTCCTGTATCCTATGTGGATTTCTAGCAGAGCATCTGCAAAGCTTTATCCTTCATTGCCTAAGTCATGCCTGACCCCTCTTCCTGCTGTTGGGCAGCAAAAATCAGAGGGTAGGGTCATGACATTCATTTCTCTTTATTTCCACACAGGTCCTGATGGAAAGAAGGGGTTTAGTAAATGTTGAAGTAAATACCTAAGTTTTTCTGAGCTTGGGGAAGGCAGGGTTAATAAAAATACACACAATGGAGATAATAATTAAAAAATTTTGGAAATAGATGAATGAACAGGGTAAGAAACATATAATTCAACATCAACAAAGAGACTGAAGGGAGAGCAACCAGTGTTCTGGGGACAGATGCACCAAGCTGTGGGACCTCAGGAATCTTCAATGAGTTTTCATTAACTTTGTATTGGATCAGGTCAGATTTGAGGATTGGAGATGAAATTTTTGATGAGGCACATGGAAGGAAATAATATCAGTGATCATCATCATAGCTAACCCTGTGTGGCAAGAACTGTCTCAAGTGTTTTTGCTGAATTAACTCATTTAAATAGCCCCAAAAAGTTAGAGGTCCAATCACTATCCCTGAGGAACGAAGAGGTGGCTGAACTTAACCATGGCCACACAGTTAGCAAGTGGAAGAGGCAGGATTTAACCCAGGCTCCCAGGTTTGTTGTTTTAATTGTGTGTGTTCCTTATTCTACCTCAGAGTTGGTAATAGAATGTGAAGAGCTGGTATGTACAGAAATAATAATGTTCTGAAGTCTGAACAAATTCAGTGAGGTTGCCTGGACTGGGTGCAGTGGCTCACATCTGTAATCTCAGCATTTCGTGAGGCCAAGGCAGGAGGATTGCTTGAGGCTGGGAGTTCAATACCAGCCTGGGCAACAGAATGAAACCCCATCTCTCAACAACAACAACAAAAAGCAAACAAAAAAGAAGGCCAGGCATGTGTGGCATGCACCTATAGTCCCAGGTACATGGGAAGCTGAAGTGGGAGGGTTGCTTGAGTCCAGTTCAAGGCTGCAGTGAGCTATGATCACACTGCTGCACTCAAGTATGGGCAACAGAGCACCCTGTCTCTTAAAAACAAAACAAAACAAAACCAAAAACCAAAAAAGTGGTGGCCTTGAAAGGAAAAGATTTGCAAAGAATAGGCTAGACTGGAGTTAGTCTTATTCCTCGTCACACACACACACACACACACACACACACACACACACACACACCCTATTGCGTTTTCTTCTTTTAACCCTTGCTCGAAAGTCAATCTCTCCTGTGAGTTGCAAGGACAGTAACATCAGAAATGTACCAGTCGCCAACTTCATTATACTATAGTGTTGCTGACATTTTGCATTTGGAGAATTTGATTAAAGACCACTTTGAGATTCTTACCTTAAACCATTGCTTTTTTCATAAAGTAGGTGACGAGAAAATAGCAGGTAAGACAGAGTCCTCACTTTCTTTACCATGCAGGACATGTGCTGAGAGAATTGGAGCCATGATAGGGAGCAGTTTGTCTCTACGGAAAGTCTAGGGTCTCTCCCCAGTGTCCCTTAGCCAGCCTCATACCATTGTGCTTTTCTTCCCTAGTGGAGTGGGATCCCCCAAAGGAAGGCCAGGCCCCTTTGGCCAGTGGGCCCCTGGGGCACTTGGCTGCATCACCAGCAGTCGGATGGAGGGCTGGGTCTCCAGAGTGGCCTCCGGCGCATACTCCTTACTGGGATCCTTGCCTCGGCAGTCATATAGGATGCAGGAGATGAGGAAGACCAGGAGCAAGATGATGTAGCTCGCAACTAGGATGATCAGGTTCAAGGTGACAGGGTCAATCTCCAAGTAGAATTCCATCACTTCTCCCATGGTGAAGAAGCAGGCCTAGAGAAAGGCAACTGGGGTCAGTTTGGGCATTGCAGAGAGCAGATCTTAGAGCATCGGAATAGCTACATTGGCTCTGGAGTAAAAATACATTAATCCCTACTGCTCCAGGAGACCTCGGGGATTAAAGCTGCTCGGTTTAATAACTTAAGCTTGCTGTTAATACCACAGCCACCAAAACACAGAAGCTGTGTCTCATCAGTTAACCTACACAGAGAGAGAAAGAGAGAGAGAGATGGCTCATGAGTTACTGGATCATGGTGTATAAGTAGAGCATTCATATAATTCAGCATCCACACAGTTTGGTGAGCAAAAGTAAGTGCTGTTAATAAGCATTCCAAGATGACAGCTAAAAACCTGGGTTGTCCTGGACAATTGTGTTGTCTTGGTATAAGGGATGTTTAGTACCATGTATGGAGTGATTTGCATGATCAGGTCAGTAGGCTTTGGAAGTAGATGTGATTCTTCAAGAAGAAGATACTAGTGCCTGATATGTTCACCTTTTCCTCATTTGTTGCTGCATTTCTCATTACTTAATTCAAAACTGCTTTTTGAGTCCTTACTCCCTGTGTTTCAGACACTTTACTAAGCAAAGCAGAAATGGCTGTGATGAGACAGAGAAGCAAGTAATCTAGCAAGAAAGATAGCCTTTAAACAGATAATTGCATAACTCACCATTTAAGAACAGTGGAAATAAGTTTATAAGGGAGATATATAGAGGGTAAGAGGAGAGTGTGTCCCAATGTGGGTCAAAGAAGCTGCAGAACTGACATTTAACCTATGATCTGAAGGATAAGTGGCATTTAGCTAAGCGAGAAGGGATAGGGATGAGTCTTCTAGCTGCAAAGAACTGTCTGTGAAGACCCGAGCAGAAAGGAGCCTGGGAAATGGCAAGCATGGGAACAAGGGCAGAGTGACAGAAGCATAAAGAGAATGGGGAGCAGGAGGCGGGAGAGGCAGGCAGGAGCTAGAAGGCACAGGCACTTGTGGCCATACTCAGAACTTTAGATTTGATCCTAGAGCAATGGGATGCCATTGAATGCTTTTGCGCAGGGGAATGACTATTGAATTTGCATTTTAAAGAGATCCCCTTAGCTGCCTCCTGGATCCAGAAAGACAAGTAAGTCGAGAGGAAGATCAGACATTGATCAGATTACAGTTATTCCTAGATGTATAAATCACTGTCCTGCCACAGTTGTAGCCCTTCCCCATAGCCCTGCATAGGGCTACCTCATGGGCATGTGCCCTGTGCAGCTGCACAACAGTCCATGCTCGGAAAGACCTCACACTTGGTTTAATGCTCTGCTGTTGCCATCTTGAAATTCTTGACTTTTTAACATATCTACTTTTGGGCAGATAGGGCATCAGTAGCTTTTTCTCCAATAGCTAATAGGACTTTTTGGATACTCCTAGTTAAAGGCCGAAGCTCCCAAAGGTCTGCTGGTTTCTTAGTGTTAAGCTTCAATGGGCTAGTAGCTTCCGGTCAGGCTCCTTTATGTCCAGTTTCCATGGCAACTGGAGGGTTTGAAGATGTAGTATGGGGTTCTTATGCATCTCGAGACCTTTTTCCAAATAATATCTTCCATGAGTCTATGGTCCTGGACTAACTTATGTAATTATACTCCAGAAGATGCATGGTTCTGAAACACCATAGATTTAGGGTCAGCCTGATTGGAATCTGTGGGGTCTCTCATCAATACAGATACCTGGATCAACCCTAGATCTATTGAGTTAGAATCTTTAGGGCTAGAGTCTGGGGATCTGAGTTAATAAAAATATTCATGGATAATTTTGATCTGCAACCAGGATGGAGAATCATGGCTAGAAAAGTAGAAAAAAAGGATGTGAAGAAAATGGGCCAATATGTGGTCACCAGGGCATTGGTGATCTGTGAAGAGCTATTCCAGGGGGCATTGAAAATAGAATTCAACAGTGTCCAAGGTTTGAGTCCAATAGATTCAGAGAATTAATTTTGTGCTTGCAAGGACATAGCTTTTTCTTCCTGGAGGCAGATCTACAGGAAAAGTCCATTTATAATTGGAAAGTTTCTTGGTAAGCACAGAATCACACAGCAAGTAGAGTTGTCTGTTGCATCTGTAAGTCACGTGCAGTGCACCAGACAGAAGCGAGGCTTTAAAAGGCATTATGTACCAGATGCCTACTTTCTTTTGCCCACTCAGGACTCTAGATTCGTGACTTCTATAGTAAACTGAGTCTGGATAGCCCAGGTACCTCCATGTGACAATATTTAGGGGAGTTATTTGGTGACTTTAAATAGATGACACAAGGATTGGTTAAAATTGACTCTGAAATGAGAACTACACAAAGTTTTGTCCACATTAATTTAAACTGAAATATATGCAACAGATCTGCTCTATTGAGTGGAGTTTTCATATCAAGTCTGGGTTTCTCTGTGTAATCGTGATAATCCTTAATCATGGTGTGTGATCAGGTCTGGCCTCTCTTCTTAGATTGCCCCCATTCTGCTGATACCCATGATGTTCCAGAATGTTTTGTTCAAGGCTTTGGTTTCAGTATCTTATTACTGTTTGCAGACTGTTTTTTGTTTTTCTTTCCATTAGTGCTCAACCTTCATTTGAAGTCTAGTCTCATGAAGGCTTGGCTTCCTTGCAATGTCTTCGGTGAAATGCTGGCTGCTTGTTTTACTTAATTAACCTGGTTAGCTCCTCTATTCTTGTCTGGGCTAACCTCACCCACCTTTCTTTTGCTGTCTTTAAGTAACTTTCCTCTTGTGCCATCTAGTGGCCAAAGCAGGGGCTGCGAAATAAAGAAAACTTGGCAATAGGCACACGGGGACTAATCAGCTGTTACGAATCAGCATGACGGGGTGACATAGGTGAAAACAGTAATGAGCTGCATGTCAGTAGAACACGTGGAGGTAGTCTGGACATACTCATTCCTTCGTTTATCAAAAATGTGAATTGTGCACTTACCATATGCTAGCAAGGTACTAAGCCCTTTGGAGCTTGATTATGTGATAAATACTGAAACCACACTGTACAACCAATGCAGAGCTCAGAGGGAAAAAGGAATTCTCAACCCCATTTTTTAAAATGAGAAAATTGAGGGCCGGGCGCGGTGGCTCAAGCCTGTAGTCCCAGCACTTTGGGAGGCCGAGGCGGGTGGATCACGAGGTCGAGAGATCGAGACCAACCTGGTCAACATGGTGAAACCCCGTCTCTACTAAAATGCAAAAAATTAGCTGGGCATGGTGGCGCGTGCCTGTAATCCCAGCTACTCCGGAGGCTGAGGCAGGAGAATTGCCTGAACCCAGGAGGCGGAGGTTGCGGTGAGCCGAGATCGCGCCATTGCACTCCAGCCTGGGTAACAAAAGCGAAACTCCGTCTCAAAAAAAAAAAAAAAAAAAAAAAATGAGAAAATTGAAGCTTAAAGAGACAGTAGAATTCTAATGAGCTTATTCTCATTCCCTTTCTCCCTCTCCCCCTTCCATCTCTCTTTTCTACTGCATAAAATATAAATAAAACATCTACAGGAATACCTTATTCTATAGAGCATTCAAAACTCATTGGCTAGCTATTCCATGGGTATTCAATTATTTACATATTTATTTGCAGTGTAGTCCATTTTGATGGCTGACCTGGAATATTACTTAATAATACCAGATAAATATGTGTTCCCTATAAATGCATTTTTAAGTAAGCAGAATTTATCACCTTAAACATAAACATATTTTTGTTTAACAACTATTCTGGATGAAAATTTATCTCTGGTATTTCAGAGTGCCTTGCTTCCTTGATAAAATACAGTATCCCAACAGTTTTAGAAGTGTTACGTTTTAACAACTTCAGAGGTAAAAATGTTATGAACTTAAATTATAAAAATCATTGGGGCTTTCATTATTTCACAGTTTGAGGACATTCAGGCACAGGGAAGTGACTTTCTTAGGTCCAAACAGATAGTAAATGACAGAAACAAGACATTAAGGCAATGTGTTTGAATTCTAGTCTAGTTTTTTTTTTGTTTTTTTTGCACTGGAATTATTGACTATATAGGTGAAAAACAAAAGAGGGAAAGATGCTGTGGATTCTGGAAAAGTGAGAAGGGGAATGATGAATGAAACCAAATGCTAGCCGTCTATATTTTCAAAAGTCCACTTAACCTTTAAATTTGTGCTAAGAGGACATAACCTGATTTTCAACCTACCACCCTTCTCAGCTTCCTACTTATAATCGGGTGGATGGCTCACCTGGAGCCTCTGAAGAAATACTGCCACATTTTGTCACAATTTCAAAGTCTTTCCTTACATCTGTACTGGGTTGAATAATGTCTCCCCTCAAATTCACCAACCTGGAATCTCAGAATGTGGCCTTATTTGGAAATAGGGTCTTGGCAGATATGATTAATTAAGGGCAAGATTTTACTGGAGAAGGGTGGGCCCTGAGTTCAATGACTGGTGTCCTTATAAGCAGACTGTGTGAGGGCACGGAGGCACACAGAGAGGAGATTCTCTGGAAAGATAGAGAGAGATCGGAGGGAAGCATCTTGCAAGCTGTGGAATGCCAAGGACTGTGGGTCACCACCAGAAACTGGAAGACGAGCCTGGGACAGACTCTCCCTCAGAGCCTCCAGAAGTAACTACCTCTGCTGACACCTTGATTCCAGACTTCCAGCTTCCACAAGTGTGAGAGAATACGTTCCATGATTTTAAGTCATCCATTTTGTGGCGTTTTGATACAGTAATCCTAGGAAACTAACATATCACCTATCTAATGTGTGGATAAAACCAGATGTGGCGTGGAGCAAACCATGCGGTGTACTAAGCTCTTTCAGATCCTCTTCTATTTGATTTTGGCACTTGCCCTTTACAGACCTGAGCTTGCTTCCTGGCTCTTTCTTCTCAGGTATGGCTCCATGAAGAAAATGCATGAGACGAATGAAAATTACTGTATGTAAAATTTACTTCTATAAAAAATAAAGACCTTCAGTTTAAAATAGCACTTGGCTGGAAGCCCCCGATGTAGCCTTTTATATCTTCCCAGTAAAATTCCTCAGAAGACACAGAAAAAAAAAAAATAAAAACCTACAAAACAATGAAAAACAATGTAGCAGGGGATAATATTTTTAAGATGCTG